CCCAGCTGGGGCGACGGCGTCAGGTGCAGGAGCTCCCAGGCCCACGGCGAATGCACTTGCGGCTCCATCATGCTCTGAAGCTGCCGCCGCATTGGGGACCAGAGTTGAGTCGGCTGCCTCTGCGCTCTCGGCTGCCACCGCTCCTGCGACCGTCATTGGGCCTGCCGCGGCGGCAACACGTGCGCCAGTGATGGCGGGTGCAGCCAGCGCCCCTCAATCAGTCCCCGCAGGGGTGGTTGGTTCGGGTGCGCTGACGGCGCCAGCAGCCAAGTCTCCTGCGACTGCAGGGGCCGCAGCACCCCGTCCGCCCGTCACTTCCAGCGCGCCCACAGTCGCACCCAAGGCAGACACCCCAGCAACCGGCGTGAACGTTTCTCCAGTGCGCCCAGCCGCGGCGGCCCAATCGTCCCCTCTGCCCTTGGCGAAGGCACGGGCAGCACCTGCGTCGCCCGCGGCGCCCGCGGCATCTGTGGCAGCAGCAGCGGCCGCAGGGACAGCCCCCGGTGGCGGTTGCCTGGGCCGAGCCGCGGCAGGGCCCACGGAAGGGTCTCGGCCCAGCGCGGCGTTGGCACGGGCCTCCAGCGCTGGCCCGACGGCGCCTGCCGGCGGCACGGCGCCAGCGACCACCGCGGGCCTCGCCGCTCCAGCGGGCCCAGCGCCCGCGCAGCTACCTGCGACGGCCTCCGCCGGGGCGGCGCCCGCGCCCCTCGCGGGAGGCCTGGAGCCGAGGCAGCTGCCGCTGGGCGCGGGGCAGTTCCGCCCGAGCCAGGAGCCCTTGCGCTCGCGGCTGCTGGAGGGCCTCGGCCGGGCCGTCGCTCGAAGAAGAAACAGCGCCATACACACAAATGTTTGGCGCTCCGCGCGGGTTTCTTGGATCTGCGCTGGGCCCCCCGGCGGGGCCGCGCTCCACGGAGGGGGTCCAGCGCAGATCCAAGAGATCCGCGCGGAGCGCCAACGGTTTAGGTTTATGTCCTTTTTTCTTCTCCCAGTCGCGGGCACAGAGATCAGGGAGATGGAGGGCTTCCGCGGCGGGCAGAACTCGGGCGTCTGGATCGTGAGCGGGCCCGCGGACGTGGACGAGCTCGTGCTCAAGTTGGTGAGGTGCACCAGCTCGCATCCGGGCCTCCCCACGGAGGCGGAGAACTGCGCGAGGCTGCTCGCGAGGCACCCGGCCATGGCGCGGGACGGCCAGCTAGCGCTGCCCACGCACGTGTTTTCCTGCCTGGGGCCGTCTGGTGAGAAGCTCCACGACCTGCTGGTGATGCGCAAGGCGCGGGGAGACCCCCTGGCCACGGTAATAGCGAGGAGGTGGCACGGCGGCGAGGCCCAGGAGCTGATGCGGGTCATGACGCGCCTGGGCCGCTTCCTCTCGCGGCTGCACCGCCGCTACGAGGGCTTGCAGCATGGCGACTTTCAGCCCTCCAACGTTCTCCTGCACGAGGAGACCGGGGAGTTCACCCTGGTCGACGTGGGCGGGATGGGCATCACGACAGTGAAGACCGACGTGGAGCATTTCGAGGGCGCCATGAGGACATTGGCGGCAGCCTACAAGGCCCCGCAGTTGGCCGACGACACTGTCCGCCACTTCCTCGAGGGGTACGCAGAGGAAGCGGCCGCTCAGGCGGCCGGCACCCCGCTGGCGGAGCCTGCGGGGCCGGAGGAGGAGGCCGCCGCCGCCGCCACCGCCGCGGCAGGCCCAGGCGCTCGCCCAGAGGCCGCCTTCGACGCGACGATGCGGCCTGGTGGGGCGCCGCCGCTCGAGGACGCGGCGGCGCTCGAGGATGGCCGCCTGGGAGGGGACGCGTGGCGACAGCGGCTCCAGTCGGACGTGGAAGTAATCCAGCGCATCTACGGCGCCATCTCGCGGCGCGGCTTGTCGCCGCACGAGCTCTTCGAGCGCCTGGACCTGGACGCGGACGGCGTCCTGGGCTGGCAGGACGTGGGCCAGCTGCTCCGGTCGTTCTCGCCCGAGAGGTCCGAGCAGGAGCTCCGGGGCCTGTTCTGCACCATTGGCGGCGACGAGCGCGGCGCGGTCACCCTGCCCGCTTTCTGCCTCGCCTTCCGCGCGGCAGGGGAGGTGCTGGCCCACGGCCTGCTGCGGCGCCTCCGCGCGGCCCTCTCGCGGCGGGGCGAGTCCCCACAGGGCCTGTTCTTCAGGCTGGACGCCGACGGTGACAGCCTGCTGCGGCCCGAGGACCTGGAGGGGCTGATCGCGGTCCTCCTCCTCCTACTCCTACTCCTCCTCCTCCTCCTCCTCCTCGTCTTCCTCCTCTTCCTCGTCCTCCTCCTCCTCCTCTTCCTCCTCCTCCTCTTATGAATAACATCTCCCTGTCGCACTGATTGAGCGCCGCGCACGTTCGTTTGAAATGTGCAGGAGCTTCACGGATTGAGGGCGGGTCGTTTTCAAAGTGTAGCTCCCGCTTCAGCGCTGCGCACATTCTTTTTAGGATGTGCAAGAGTTTCACGGATTGAGGGCTGGTGGTTTTCAGAATGTGGCTCTCGCTTGAGCGCCGCACATTCGTTTTGAACACTTGCAAGAGTTCCACGGATTGAGAGCGGGTGGTTTTCAAAATGTGACTCGCCGTAGCGCCGCGCACATTGGTTTTCAACATTTGCAAGAGTTTGACGGATTGAGGGTTGGTGGTTTTTAAAATGTGGCTCTCGCTTGAGCGCCGCGCACATTCGTTTAACATTTGCAAAAGTTTCACGGATTGAGGGCGGGTGGGTCTCAAATGTGACTCTCGCCGTATTGCTGCGCACATTGGCTTTCAACATTCGCAAGAGTTTCACGGATTGAGGTTGGTGGTTTTCAAAACTCTCGCCTTAGCGCCGCGCACATTCGTTTTACCACTTGTAAGAGTTTCACGGATTGAGGGCGGTGGTTTTCAACATGTGTCTCTCGCCGTATCGCCGCGCACATTTTGCAAGAGTTTCACGGATTGAGGGTTGGTGGTTTGCCACGCGCATTCTTTTTAAACATTTGTAAGAGTTTCACGGATTGAGGGCGGGTCGTTTTCAATATGTGGCTCTCGCCTTAGTGCCGCGCGCATTCGTTTTAAAACAATTGCAAGAGCTTCACATATTGAGGGCGGGTGGTTTTCAAAATGTGGCTTTCGCCATAGCGCCGCGCGCACATTCGTTTTAAACAATTGCAAGAGTTTCACGGGTTCCCATGGTCAACGTACCAGAAATGGTGTTTGGGAAAGATTCAGGATTATGAGGGTGCAACAGTTACGTTGCTTCGCGGTGTTGAAGTCTCAAGCACGGCGTTATGGCATGATTCAGGATCGCCCAGCGCAACAATCAGGTAGATCCGTGGCGTTGGAGTCCCGAAAATCATGTTTTGCCATGCGTCAGGGTCTTCAAACGGTTGTTTTCCAACGAGGCAGTTCCCATAGTGGAAGTGAACCTTTGCAGGGGCCTGTGGAGAGGGAGCTTGCAGGGAGGGTTTATGCCAACATCGTGGATGACTCTTGGCTCTACACTCCTCCTCCTCCTCGTCCTCCTGAGGACCTGGAGGGGCTGATCGCGGAGTTCGCGCCTGGCGGCCCCACGGCGGAGCTCGCCCGCGCGCTTGGCGCCGATGAGGATGGCTGCGTGGCGCTGCCCGCCTTCTGCGGGGCACTGACCGCCGTGTGCGGCCCGCCCGGGTCCGAGCGGGAGTGCGCGCTCGCGGCCGGCTCCGCCCCGCCGGGCGCGGAGGCCGAGGCCGCCGCTGCGCCTCGCGCGGTGCCGCGGCAGCGGCAGCGGCGCCCGCGCGGGCGCGGCTCGGAGATCGCGCGCTGCTTGGAGGCGAACCGCCGCCTGCCTGGGCGCCATGCAGTGGTCAGCGCTGAGGACCGCGCCGGGTGGCACCCGCATGCGCCCTGGGCTGGCGGCGAGGCGGCCGCCGCGCGCCGGGAGGCCCGCCGATCCCCGGCGGCCGCCCAGGCGGCGCCCCGGCTGGCGCGCGACTCCGAGGAGCGGCTGCGGCAGTTCGTGGAGCGCCACGGTCCGACGGGGCGCCCGCCGTGCCCCGGCGAAGCGGGCGCCGCGGCGGCGTTCCGCTGGCGGCCCGCCGTTCCTGGCCGCGCCGCGCTGGAGCCGGCTGGGAGGGTGCGGGAGCGGCGCGAGGTGGCGAGGCCAGCCGCCACCGGGCGCCGGCAGCCGGGCGCGCGCGCGGGCGCGCGGCAGGCGGCGAAGGACCCGGAGGCCCTGGAGAAGCTCAGGCAGTTCGTGCTGCGGCACGGCGCCAGCCGCGACAGGCAGCGCCAGGGGCCTGGCTTCGAGCACCTGGACGCGGCGGGCGGGGCCCCTGCGCCAGTCCAGGGCAGCGGCGGCGCGAGCCCCGCCGCTGGCAGCGTCTACGGCGGCAGCTTCGGGCCGGGGCGCCGCCGGCGGTCGGGCAGCAGCCGCAGCAGCTCCAGCAGCAGCTCTGGCAGCGGCAGCAGCCGCAAGTACGACTCCGAGAGTTTTGCCTCCCACGCCAGCGGCGCAGAGGAAGGCCGCATCGCTGGATCCAGCAAGGGTGCCGGCGCAGCGGTGGCAGCCAAAGCCGCAGAGGAGTCGTACAGCGACGACGACTTCGAAGGGTCGGACGACGCTGGGAATTCTGACTGAGCGCGCTTTTCCAGACCCGATAGCGCGTCACGTGCATGGCCCCAGGCCGATGGTGCCACCAACGCCCCAGCAGAGCCAGACGGGAAAAACAACAATGATTCTCTTTTGTGTCGTTCCTCCAGCCTGGGGGGGAGGGGGGCGTGGAAGCATTGTTTCTTGCGCGCCAACAGTGATTCTCTTTCGTGTTGTTCCTCCAGCCTGGGGGGGAGCGGGGCGTGGAAGCATTGTTTCTTGCGCGCCTGCATCATCCACTCTCGCAACATCTCCCTCGTTTCGCCGTCATGGGCATTATGTCATGTGTCGTCGCCTCCACTTAGCATGATGGGCTGTCGTTGCCTGGCAGGCGATTTGGATGCCTCGTTTTCGCGAGCTTCAACTTGTCAAACCCAGAGCCCGACTTGATGCTCTTTGTGCAGAAGGTCTGCGTGATCTTCCTCTTTTTCCAGTGTGTGGTGAGTGGTTTACGGCCCTTTCAGCACATACTTTGTACCTCATCTCAGTTCTTTTCTGGCGACGCCCGCCTAAAGTCTGTTTCCGTCGATCGAAATCTCTGCCTCATTCTCCGACAGCCTCTGCCGTCTCCAGATGGGGCAGAGGTCTGAGCAAGCGATCAGGCTCGCCCCACGACAGACAAGAAGCATAATTAATGCTCTCGGACGATGTTTCGGATATTGGGATGCGGAAAAGGACGAGTAGGAGGAGGTGGAGGAGGAGGCCGGTGAGGAGGAGGACAGGAAGGCCAAGGGATGAGGATGAGTGGACTACTGATGATGCTGCTGCTGATGATGATGCTGCTGAGGACGAGGACGAGGACGAGGACGAGGAGGACGATGATGACGATGATGATGCTGCCACTGATGATGATGATGATGATGATAATGATGAGATGATGATGATGCTGATGATGATGATGATGATGATGATCATGATGATGATGATGTTGATGATGGCATCGACGGTGACGATGACGACCACGATGCTGATGATGACAATGATTATGATGAGTATGATGATTCTGATGCTGCTGCTGATGATGATGATGATGATGAGCATGATACTGATGATGCTGCTGATGCTAATGATGCTGCTGAAGCTGAGGCTGCTGCTGCTGATGGTGATGACGACGACGATGATGCTGCTGCTGCTGCTGATGATGATGATGATGATGCTGATGATGATGATGATGCTGCTGATGATGATAATGATGATGATGATCAGGAGGTGGGGAGGAGGATGAGGAGGAGGAGAAGGAGGAGGAGGAAAAGGAGGAGGAGGAGGAGGAGGAAAAGGAGGAGGATGAGGGACAGGAGGAGAAGGAAGAGGAGATGCAGGAGAGGCTCACAAGAGGAGGGCTCAACAGGAAGCGGGGGGCAGCCGCGCGGAAGGGCGTGTGCTGAGCCAGGTGGGTGGCAGGAAGGACTCCCCCCTCCCCCTCCCCTCACACTCCTTCACTCTCCTCCTGCCTCCTTTTTTCCTCATCTTCTTCCTTCCTCTCTTTCTCCTTCCTTCCCCTCCCCCTTGTCTGCCTCCTCATCCTCTTCCTCGTCACGTTTCTCCTCCTTCTCCGCCTTCTCCTTTCCCTCCTGAGCCTTCTTCCTCTCCTCGTCCTCCCAGCCATCTTTCATCCCGGCTAGACTCTAGATTCTGGTTTGATGGGCTAGGTCTTGGTGGAAATCCTTCCTCTCCGGCCGAGATAGATAATTCACCAGTCTGTTCGCTGTCTTCCAAGTAGGGAAGAGTTTCCGATACCCGCAACAAGAAGAGATGTTACACCTCTTCTCATTCGCGGGGTTCAGCGCCCGAGGGGTCGTGAGGGCGTCCTACGGATTCCTGCAGGAACCTCCAGGATTCCTACACGGATTCCTGGGAGAATTCCCTCATGTATTTCGCAGGGAATCTGACGGACTTTGACCTATATAAGGACTCCTATAATGATTCCTCCTGAGGATTCTGGTATCCCCTGGCCCCTGGGACCTCAGCGGGCCGACACCTTTCTGGTGGGTGAGCTTAAATGGTGCTCGATGGCGTGCGCCCTGTGATACCCCATAGTGCCCCGCAACGGGCGCCGTTTGATGTCTTAGGTGGAGATCCCTGTGTGCCACGATCCGTGTGAGAGGTTTGCCGAAGTAGGTGGGGGGGTGGGATGCGAACCTTCTCTGTGGCCGTCCGTGAAATTTTGCGGGCCACGATCCGTGTGAGAGGTGTGCCGAAGTGATTTGGGCGACGCTATGTAACTTCCCTCTGGTGCCACAAGTGCACTTGCGGGGCACGACCCGCCTGAGGGCGTTCCATTCTGCGGGCCTTGTCTCTAGGGACGGAGGCGGAGTTCCTTATGGGGCGCGATCCTTGTGAGGGGTGTGCCAGCACGGGCGGGGGGACGCCAAGCCAAGCCTGTCTCTGGGGTCGCAGGTGAGGCTCCCTGAGGGGCACGATCCGTGTGACAATCTGTGTCCTCCGATGTCGAACATTTTAGACTACAACTAGAGCGTAGAAACCAAGCGCTCGAAGCGCGCGCGTGGTTCTCGTGTGTGCGTATGTATGTATGTATGCATGCATGCATGTATGTATGTATGTATGTATGTATGTATGTACGTATGTATGTATGTTTGTATGTATGTATGCATGTTTGTATGTATGTATGTCTGTCATGTATGTATGTATGTATGTATGCATGTATGCATGTATGCATATATACATGTACGCATGTATGCATGTATGCATGTATGCATGTATGTATGTATGTATGCATGCATGTATACATGTATATAGGCATGTATGTATGCATATAGGTATGTATGTATGTATGTATGTATGTATGTATGTATGCATGTATGCATGCATGCATGTATGTATGTATGTATGCATGTATGTCTGTATGTACGTACGTACGTACGTATGTATGTATGTTTGTATGTATGTATGTATGTATGTATGTATGTATGTATGTATGTATGTATGTATGTATATATATATATGTATGTATATATCGTATGTATATATGTGTTGTGTGTGTGTGTGTGTGCGTGCGTGCGTGCGTGCGTGCGTGCGTGTGTGTGTGTGTGTGTGTGTGTGTTTGTGTGTGTATGTGTATGCGTGTGTCCGTAGCCTTTGGCTCAAGCCCTTTGGCTCAAGCTCGAGCACGCCCCTGGCTCAGGGGCGGTTGTCCGGCCCCGGCATGATGGAGACCACCGCGGCGCGGCGACGGCGACATGCCCGTGCCGCTGCAGGTCGCCGCTTGGCTGCCGCCGCGGCCGGCGCACTGGTCCACGCGGGCCCGTCGGGGCTCTTTGGCGCCGCTGGCGCGGCTGGTGCTGCTGGCGCGGCGGGCGCGGCCGCTCTCGGTGGCGCGCCTGCTGCTGCGAGCGCTTCCGGCCCTGCTGGCGCCGCCGCCTCGACTCTCGCTGCTGACGCCCCCTGGGCGGTCAGCGCGGGCTGGGCTGCTCGCCCTCCCACCCCCGCGGGCGCCCCAGGCGCTGCTGACGCCCCCTGGCATGTCGGCGTTGCCCGCGTGCGACGTCCTGCTGGCGCCGCTGGCGCCGTCGGCACGGTCGAAGCTGCCGACGCTGCTCCTGGCGTCCTGGCGTCTTCGCGATCGACGTCGCTGGCGCGGCCAGCGCGCCGGGGCTCCTTGGCGCCGCTGGCGCGGCTGGTGCTTCTGGCGCGACGGGCGCGGTCGCTCTCGGTGTCGCGCCTGCTGCGGCGAGCGCTTTCGACGCTGCTGGCGCCGCCGTTTCGGCTCCTGCTGCTGACGCCCCCCGGGCAGTCGGCGTGGGCTGGGCTCCTCGTCTTCTCGCCTCTGTGGGTGCCCTGGGCGCTGCCGACGCCCGCGGGCATGTCGGCGCGGCCCGCGTGTGCCGCCCCGCGGCTGGCGCCGCTGGCGCCGCCAGCGCGGTCGAAGCTGCCGACGCTGCCTCTGGCGTCGGCGCGTTCGATCCAGCTGCCGCGCGCGGCGCGGCCGCCGCGATCGCCGCCTGCGCCTGCGCCGCGGCCGCCGCCGCGGGGGCTCGGGCCGCCCTCGGGGCCGCCGTTGGAGGGCGGGCGCTGGCCGCCGTGCTCGCGGCGGACGCCGCGGCGGGCAGTTGGCCATCGGGCGCCGCCATGAAGGGTCCCACCATCATCTACTCCAGCACCCCGATCAGCGTTTGCGGGAAGGGCGGGCAGGGGGAGGGGCGGCCGGCGCTGCCTTTGCTCAGTAAAAATGCTGTGCGTGAAGCTGGAGCCCGTCCTCATCTGCTCAGCGCCCCGATCAGCGCGCGCGGGGCGAATGTGCGCAGCGAGATTGTGGGCGTGATGCTGGGGCCCACCGTCATCTGCTTCAGCGTCCCGCGTACGAGAAGGGGCAGTGGCGGTTGGACCTGTCAGTGGCGGCGCGGTCAAGGAGGGCGCGGATGTGCAGGGAGACGTCGACGACGAGGTGGAGGAGGTCGTGGAGGTGGGTGTTGGATGGGTCGACGATGGAGGTGGAGAGGGTCGCCGCGGAGTTCCGGGGGCAGGTGGAAGAGGTCAGGAATGCTTTCGACGACGCGCGCAGTGAGGATGGCGAGGGGGGCGACGAGAATGCGGCCATGGAGGAGGAGGAAGGGGGCGTCGAGATGAACGAGGCCGTCGACGTGGTCGCGGAGGTCCAGTCCGCGGGCTGCGCCGCCCATCCTGTCGGTGCAACTCCGCCAATCTTGTCGACCCCGCGCCGCTCATTCTTCCGATCCTGTGTGAGCCATGCCCGCCAGTCTCTGGGCGATGCGGGGTGCAGGGGGGCCCTTGGGGGGGCGGGCGGCAGGCCCTGGGCCCGCTGGTGCCTCCTCTCAATGGAACCATGCAGCCGGGTGCAGCCATGGAACCACGCGGCGACAGCAGGGGCCAAGAACAGAACTTCAGCGGTCAACGACGGAGCAGCTAAACTGGCGACGAGGCCCCGCGCCGAGGGAGGCCCGTCCCTGGCGGCGTCGGGAGCTTGCACCTCCGTTGCTCACGTGGAGGTTTCGCTTAATCACAAGCGGGAAATGGCGAGACGGATGGCGCGCAGAGATCTGGGAGAGATGAGGCAGAAGGACATCTCGTTCCGCGTCATTCCGACTAATCGCCGTCTGACGACAGCATCCCAGACCCAGAGGGACGGGGCGAGCGTGCCAGGCGCCGCCTTGTTGCTTGTGGCCGTTTTGCGCCGCCGCGGCCTTCGTCGCCCGATTGCGACAGTCTGGGCCCGGTTGAGCACTGCGGTCTCCACCGATCATGACCCACGCGCCCGCTGTGGAGGCGCCGTCTTGGGACAGACCTCGATTCTCCTGGCTAGCGCATGGTAGCCTGTGGCTCCTGGTCAAGGAGGCGTGGGCTAACTCCCCGTGGGCTCGTGAACACTGGGATCGCTTCGCCTGCGACAAGAAAAAAAGGAAGGGGCGAGCTCGCGCGTGTGTGTGTGTGTGTGTGTGTATATGTGTGCGTGTGCGTGTGCGTGTGCGTGTGCGCGTGCGTGTGCGTGTGCGTGTGTGTTTGCGTGCAGGAGGAGGGCGCTTGGCGGCCGCTTCCTGCCGCCCTCCGAGCGGCATCGCGCCCCTGGGGCGCAGCGGGGCTCCCCAGGAGGCCACTCGCATCCTGGGCGAGGGGGCAGAGGCCCCCGCTGCGCCTGCAGGACCTCCCTCCGCCGCGCCACCGAGGGCGACGGTCGCGCGGTCACCCTGCCCCTCTTGCTTCTCCTGCCTGTCTCCTGCTCCCTTCTGCTGCTCCTCTTGCTCCCGTTTCTCCTCTCCTGCCCTCCGCCCTCGTCGTTCTTGGTCCTGGTCCTGGTCCTTCGCCTCTCTCTCGCCCTCCTCCTGTCTCTCGCCTGCTGCTACTGCTGCTGCTGCCGCTGCTGCTGCTGCTCCTCTTCTTGCGGTGGCCTGGCCTGCGCTCTTCATGGGTTCGTGTGTGCCCCTGTGTGTTTCCCCGAACAGTGCTTGCACTTAGGGGTTATGATTCGTTTTCTAAGGAACTGGGCCGCGCCAGTCTGGCAGATATGTAGTCGCCGTCGCCGCCTCGTCGCCGCCCGTCGTCTGGGCCTGTCTGTCGGTCCGGCGGCTATGTTGTCGCCGTCGCCGCCCCGTTGCCGCCTCGTCGCTGCCCGTCGTCTGGGCCAAATTGCCGGTCTGGCGGCTAGACAATTGCTGCACGTAAGAACACATGCGCGCGTCGTCGCGCGCGCATGCCGAAATCCTTCAACAACCTTCGGCTTCGTAGGGATCTCAAAACCGAGTGCCCTGAAAACATTACAGCATGGTTTCGCAACAAGAGTTTTCAAAAACACTTGCTCTCGCGCTGTTGCAGATTCTTAAGACAGCCATCGGTTCCTCAACATTTTCATCACATGCTGCCAAACATGCCTCTCGCGCGCGCATGTCGAAATCGCTCGAACGCCCTTGCTCGCGTGCTGTCGCAATAATCCCTTGCAGAACAGTGGGCCGAAGTGCACACGCGCGCGTCGTCGCGCGCGCATGCGGACATCCTTCAACAGCCTTGTGTCGTAGCAATTTCAAAATCGTGTGTCCCGAGAAAACATGTAATAGCATGTGTTTTCAAACTTTCCGGCGCTGCAAATTCTTAAGGAAACCATGGGTTCTTCAATATTTTTCCCCAAAGTTAGGCTTGCCTCAGGAGTTTTTGTTGGTTAAAGGTTGGTACCTCGGGTGGCTACTTTGCGCGTTCCTCGGAGGTTCTCCGGGTTCTCGGGTTCCCCAGGTTCCTCGGGTTTCTCGGGTTCCCCGCTTGGGAATGCCAAGCGTTACCAAGCAATGCCAAGCAATGCCAAACAATGTGCCCAGCGATGCGCCCATGCAATAGGCTCTACCCAAACTGGGGTCGCGCCGGGTTCATCATGAAATTCGGTCAAACGGGCCTCGCGCACCGCATGCCGAAATCATTCGATTGCCCTTGCGCGCGTGCTGAGGGGGGGGCACGATCTGTGTCAAATAACACCATGCGGCCCACTCTCGCTCGTCGGCCGCGCGCGCATGTCGAACCCCTTCCAAAAACTTCATCACCGACGCGAGAACGCCGTTATCGTCGTCTGCGTGATTTGCATCGTCGCCGTCACTGGCCTTGCCGTCGTCGTTGTCATCGTCGTCACCAGCATCGCTACTACTATCATCGTGTCTACCGTTGTCGACGTTGCCATGATACCGCGCCCGCCCGAGTCGCCGAGCCTCACTGGAGTGCCCGCTGGGAAGTGCCCTGCGGTAGGCGTCACCGCGGCAGCGTCGGTCGTGCCAAACTAGCTGGCCGCTTCGTGCGCGAGCATGCGCGGGCTAGTGCGGCCGCTGACAGGCACCAACCAACGCCAAGCAGTCGCCGCAATCGCCGCCGCGTGGGTTTGCAAGCCAAGACGCGGGGGTGCGGGTGGGATGGTTGCGCGAGCAGTTGAGTTGACAACTCACTGCGGACAAACATTATTTGTACATTGTAGAAATGCACACCGGATACAGCTCCACATAGATTGCACAACATAGTTTGCACCGTATCTATTGCACAACATATCGAAGACGCCTACGGCGAATCACCGCCGCCCCCTGCCTTTTTGGAAGCGCCTATGTGGCCGAACGTTGAGGCCAGACCTGCCAAGCTATCGGACCACGTGTTCCCCGAATCGGTTTGGAAAGCCTTCGGGGAACACGTGGGCATCTTGAAGGTCATCTTGGCCGTCTTGGAGGCCTCTTGGGCAAGCTTTGGGCGATCTTTGGGGCTTTTTGGGCCGTCTCGGGCCAGCTTCGAGCCAACTTCGGCCATCTTGGTGGGTTCCTGGCACGTCTGAAGCCGTCGGAAGCCGTTTGGGGGGCCTCTATGGGCCGACTTGGGGCCCGCTTGGAATGCTCCAGGGCCGTCTTGGAGGCCATCTTGGGCGTCTTGGAGGCCATCTTGGGCGTGTTGGAGGCCTCTTGGGCCCTCTTGGGGCCCTCTAGGGGCCATCTTGGAGGCCACTTGGGCCATCATGGGGCTCTCTTGGGGGCCTCTTGGGCGATCTTGGGGGCTTCTTGGGCCGTCTTGAGCCGTCGGAGAGCCGAAAAGGCGCAAATGCCAAAATCCTTCAAAAACCAAGGGAAAATCAATGATTTTGGCCTCTTCGGACTCTCCTGGAGGACCTCTTGGAGGCCTCTTGGGCCGTCTGGGAGGCCTCTGGGGGGCCTCTTGGGCCGTCTTGGGCCGTCTTGGACTCTCTTGGGCCGTTTTGGAGGCCGTCTTGGACCATCTCGGGCGGACTTGGAGGCCATCTTGGGCCATCTTCGCGATTTTTTGAGGATGTCCCGAGCGAAACGGCCGTTTTTGGGCATTGCCAGACGGATTTTCGGAAATTTGCGCGTGGCTGCAGAGGTGCGCGTCCATCTGGGCCAGCTACGTGGCCACAGCTGTGATTATCACCGTGGTGGCGCTCAGCTGGCACGTCGTCGAGGGAATCCTGCGCGTATGGGCCGAGCATAGCACAGCAGGCATCTGCGCTTTCTTGTCCACCTCCGCTGCGATCTTCTTGCTGACGGCATTCATGTACAGGCCATTGATATGAGGTTGCGGCGCGGCATTGCTCGCACCCGTTGTGATGACGAACTTTACAAGTTTCCTCGCCAATTCCTGCAACGCGCACCCGTTGAAATCATAGTTTCTCGCCCTCGGGCAGGGCCTAGGCTTGCTTTCAGACAGCTTCACGAGATAGTCTCGGCTGGGCCCCACGGGGTCGCAAACCCCAACCCCTGGGCGTGGAGAGCCCTCGAGGGCGCCGTCAGAGGCAGCGTTGAGGTGTTGGCACCGCCCATGACTACTCCGAGGCTGTGTCGAGGCCAGCGGGTTCCACCTCCACGGGCCGGCTGTGCACAACCGTGAGCCTTGCCGTCTCCCTCTCTCGACTGCACGTTAGAGTGACCCTTCGCCAGAGTGACCTTTGCTGCGCACCCAGTAGGGCCCCCCGATTGCCGAGTGCGGCGTGATAGTAGCGTCTTGTGCGCTTGTGTTTGGTACCCCCGCGGCCCCCAAAAAGCCGCGCACCAAAGGTCACTCTTGCCCAGGATCACTTTTGCGTGTAGTCGACTCTCTGTCTCTCTCTCTCTCTCTCTCTCTCGCCCCTTCCTCGCCCAAAGATGCTTTTCTTGGCTTTGCGACGAAGTCGGAGGGCGGCCGCCGCCGCTGCCTGTGGGCCTCGGGCAGTCACACGCACGGCCCGCGCGGACCCTCGCACGCACACCTCTTGGGACTCGCCAGCGTGAGGGGGCCGAACGGTTTTACGCTGTCACTGGAAGCGGCTGAAGCACAATTTCGTTGTGCGGATTCTTGCTGTTCTATCTGTTATTATCCCCGCCGCCTCGCGACCAGCTTGCGACCCGCTCCGTATCTCGCCGGCGACACGCCGACGACTCACCATCTGCCCGCGTCTGCCGCAGGCCCGCGCCCGCCGCGACCCGCCCCGCGACCTGGCCGGCGGCCCACCCACGACCTGTCGCTCGTCTTCGCACTTGCTGGGGCCTACTCTGCGTTTGGTACAAAGCGTGGGGGGGGGGCGCAACCCCCGCTGGCAGCCCAAGATGGACCCCCCGTCGCGGGCAAACGCTGCCGCGCCAAGAATGACCCCCCCCTACTGCAGTGCGCCGACGGGGCGAATCTGACCCCCATGACGCCGCGCGGACAGGTTGACGTTGACCCCCTGTCGGGGGGGGGAGCCCCCTACGCTTAGCACCCAACGCAGAGTATGTAATGTCGTACAGCGTGCTCGCTCGATGTGCTTACACAGAGACCTCAAGCTGCCAGAGCTTGCAACAGCACAGCGACGATTGCGATGACGATGGCGGCAAGAGCGGTCATGTCGTAGATTGAAACGGTAATCAGCTCTGGATGCGCCGTAGACAGCCGACGCGTTCGAGGGAAGACACGGCCGGGTCCGCAAGACCACCCACCACATTGTGAAAATTTGCCTGAAATATACGGTCACCATCCGTTCTGAGAGGTGGACATGTTTCAGAATTTTCTGCGTATCTTGTATCGAAGACGCCTACGGCGAATCACCGCCGCCCCTTGCCTTTCTTGGAAGCGCCTGCGTGGCCGAAAGTTGGGTTTGAGCTTGGCCAAGCTATCGGGCCACGCGTTCCCCGAATGGGTTTCGAAAGCTTTCGGGGAACACGGAGTCGGGCGAGCTTTCGGACCAGGTGGTTTCCGAGCTTTCGGGTTTCCTGGAGGACGTCTTGGAGGGCTCTTGGGCCGTCTTGGAGGCCTCTTGCGGGCCGTTTGGGCCGTCTTAGGTTCGGACCAGGTGGTTTCTGAGTTTTCGGGTTTCCTGGGGGACGTCTTGGAGCTCTTTTGTGCCGTCTTGGAGGCCTCTTCCGGGCCTTTTTCGCCGTCTTAGGCCATCCTGAGGCCATCTTGGGCAGTCTTGGGTGCATCTTGGGGCCATCTTCGCCGTCTTGGAGGCCATCTTGGCCGTCTTGGAAGCATCTTGGCCGTCTGGAGGCCAGTTTGGCCCCTTCGGGCCTTCCTGGAGGACGTCTTGGAGGGCTCTTGGGCCGTCTTGGAGGCCTATTGCGGGCCTTTTGGGCAGTCTAAGGCCATCTTGAGGCCATCTGGGGCCGTCTGGGGTGCATCTTGGAGTCATCCTCGCTGTCTTGGAGGCCTTCTTGGCCGTCTTGGAGGCATTTTGGAGGCCATCTTGGCCGTCTTGGAGGCCATCTTCCGCGTCTTCGGGGCCATCTTGGGCCGTCTTGGGTTCTTCTTGGGGCCCTCTTGGGGGCCTCTTGGGCTGTCATGGGGCCATCTTGGAGGCCACTTGGGCGCTTTTGGGACGATGTTGGGTGCCGATTGGGCCGTGTTGGGCCGTCGGAGAGTTGAAAAGAAGAAAATGCAAAAATCCTTCACAAACATTGGCAAATCAATGATGTTTGCCCTTTCGGGCATTCCTGGAGGACGTCTTGGAGCGCGTTTGGACCGTTTTGGAGGCATCTTCCGGGCCTTTTGGGCCGTCTTAGACCATCTTGAGGCCATTTGGGTCGTCTTGAGTGCATTTTGGGACCATCTGACCATCTTAGCCGTCTTGGAGGCCATCTCGGCCGTTTTTGAGGCATCTTGGAGGCCATTTTGGGCCATCTTGGCCGTCTTGGAAGCCATCGTAGGCCATCTTGGAGCAAGAAAGGCATTGACAGACGGATTTTCGGGAACCTTCCGGGACCCTGGCGGGCTGGGCCGAAGCCGCAGGGGGAGTTCTTTTGGAAAAAGAACCAAAACCAAAACCGACCGGGTCTAGCACGGCAGGCACCCCTGCGATGAATCGACATGGGGCGGCGGATCAAAGACGCTTACGGCGAATCACCGCCGCCCCCTGCCCCTGTGGAAGCGCCTATGTGTCCGACAGTTGGGCTAGAGCTTGGCCAAGCTATCGGACCATGTGTTCCCCGAGTCGGTTTGGAAAGGTTTCGGGGAACCCGGGGGGAGGAAGGGCAGGAGGAGGAGAAGGAGGAAAAAGGAGAAGGGGGAGGATGCCTCTTCGGAGCCTCTTGAGGCACTCTTGGGCTCGATTGGACCATCTTGGGACCGTCTTGGAGACCATGTTGGGGCTATCTTGGGCTCTCTTGGGGCCTCTTGAGGGCCTCATGGGGCCATTTTGGGGCTTCTCGGGGGCTTCTTTGGCCGTCTTATGGCGTTCCTGGCCTGTCTGACGCCGTCGGGAGCCGTTGTGGGGGCCTCTCTGAACCGACTTGGGGCCCTCTTGGGGCGCTTCGGGTCCGTCTTGGAGGCCATCTTGGGCGTCTTGGAGGCCACTTGGGCCGTCTTGGGGCCCTCTTGGGGCCTTCTTGGGAGCTTCTTGGGCCGTCATGGGGCCATCTTGGAGGCCTCGTGAGCGATTTTGGGGCGATCTTGGGGGCCTCTCGGGCCGTCTTGAGGTCTCTGGAAGGCCGGGAAGAAGCAAATGCCAAAATCCTTCAAAAACCTAAGGAAAACCAATGATCTTGGTCTCCTCGGGCTCTCCTTGAGGACGTCTTGGGGGGCTCTTTGGGGCCTCTTGGGCCGTCTTGAACCATCTTGAGGCTATCTTAGGCCGTCTTGGAGGCATCTTGGGCCATCTTGGAGGCATCTTGGGGCCATCTGAGCCGTCTTGGAGGCCATGATGGCCGTCTTGGAGGCCATCTTGGGCCGTCTTGGAGCCGTATGGAGCAGGAAAAACCCTTGGCAACCACCTCTGGGCAATCTGGAAGATCTTTCCGGGTGGCCGGCGGGACAGTCCGAAGCCGCAGGGGGAGTTCTTTTGGAAAAAGAACCAAAACCAAAACCGACCGGGTCTAGCACGGCAGGCACCCCTGCGATGAATCGACATGGGGCGGCGGATCAAAGATGCTTACGGCGAATCACCGCCGCCCCCTGCCCCTTTGGAAGCGCCTCTGTGGCCGACAGCTGGGCTAGAGCTTGGTCAAGCTATCGGGCCAGTTGTTCCCCGAGTCGGTTTGGAAAGACTTCGGGGAACGCGTGGGGGAGTAAGAAGAGGAGGAGGGGGAGGATGAGGAAAAAGAGGAGGAGGAGAAGGAGGAGGCCTCTTGGGGCACTCTTGGGGCCTCCTGGGAGCTTCCTGGGAGCCTCTTGGAGGGTTTGGGGGGGATTTGGGGAGCTTCTTGGGGGCCTCTTTGACCGTCTCAGGGCGTTCCTGGCTTGTCTGACGCCGTCGGAAGCACTCTTGGGGGTTTGTCTGGGTCGTCTTGGGGCCTTCTTGGGGCAGATCAGGGGTTCTTATAGGCCATGTTGGGCGTCTTGGAGGCCTCTTGGGCCGTTCTGGGGCCCTCTTGGTGTTCTTGGGCGATATTGGGGGCCTCTTGCGCCGAGAAGAAGCAAATGCCAAAATCTCTGGGGGGGGGGAAAAAACTAAACAAAACAAAAAGCAAAAAAAAAGTATATAATATATATATATATAATAATAATAATAATAATAATAATAATAATAATAATAATAATAATAATATATAAACAACAAAAAAAATCGGGCGGAAAGACCCCACATGATAATCTTCTCGGCTAATATGGAAGAAGACCTCACCGTCGGCCTGGTGATTGGTGAGGCATCCTTACTGTCCCTTCTGCGTATATATCTTCTCGCCCTGGCGCAGGCCCTCCTCCCGCTCCCTACGTTTCCCCCATCCTCGCCCTCCTATTTTCTCGCGCCCGCCACCCCCCCCTTTCTATTGCATGAGCGCGCATGTCGATTTTCCTCGGCGCCGTCGCCGTCTCGGCCAGCACGGGCGCGTTTTCGAATTGCCACGTCGCGCAGCCGTTGGGACAACCCCGCGGGCCAGGACGTCGGGGCAACCGCGCGAGCCGCTGGCGCGCAAGACCAAGCCGTTGGGACAACCCCGCGGGCTTCGAGCGGGGCGCAGCCGCGCCCAGGCGGGAGGCAGCACGAAGCTCAGCTCTGCCGCGAGCTGCTCCGCCTCCGCCCTGGACCACTCCGCTATGTTGTCGAACTCTTCGAGCGCCTTCCGCAAGGACGCTGGCGGCCCTCGCTCCTGGAGCTCTCGCGGCGGCGGCCGCAG